CTGAATGGAACCTGTCTGCTTATGGGGTGAATAAGTGGATGGTGTGCAGGATTCAGACTCCAGAATTGTATGTTACCTCTGCCCTGAACACTTCTTTCTTTGGGCACCAAAAAGATGAGCTCTGTTTGCCTGGCCTTGACTGGAGAAGGGTGAGTAGCACCCTCTTTCCTGACAAGACTTAGGCGCCTGTCCCTCCGTCTTTTGGGGCTGAGGAGACGGCCACGGAGGGGAGGTTTTTATTCTCATAAAAGATTCTTTGTCTGCCCCGCCCTGCTGGACATCCTGCAGGTGCATGTGCCTTCTTGGCCGCCAGTGACAGTGTCTGGGTGAGTGGCACCCGTGTGGCCTGAGCCTGCAGGCTGGGGCTGGAGCACCAGCTCCAACAGGAATGAGCGCAGCCGGGCAGGGGTGCCAGCTGTTGCCAGGCATGGCGTGGGGTTTGCTGAGGGAACCTGGGTCCTGGCTTGCTTTGACAACAGAAGACAACACAAACCAGCTGTCAGAAGAGGCCGCGGGCTGGAGCTGGGTGTGCATGTGTGTGCACACCGTCATGGGTGGGGAAAGGAGGAGCTGGGCCTTGCAGCACCGTGCAGGCAGGACAGGTGTCTGTGCCGGATCCGGCCCTTCCCAGGCCAGGGCAGCATTGCCAGGAACCTAATGGAATGTGTATTTCTCATCTCTCTCCAGGTTTCCATTCTATTACGAACTAAAAATAGCCTTTGTAGCCTGGCTGCTCTCTCCCTACACAAAAGGCTCCAGCCTCCTGTACAGGAAGTTTGTCCATCCCACGCTGTCTTCAAAAGAAAAGGTAATGCATGCTGCTCTGCCTTTCACTCCTTCCAGCGAGTGAAAACTCTGAAAAGTGATAAATAAAAAGGGCAGATTACTTTATTGCAGAAGACCCTTGATTGGCTCTTATTTATCCCTAACAAGTTGTTCCGTCTGGTCTTTTTTTTTAAGTCTATTTTTCTGACATGTTTAGAAATAGTTGTGAAATTCTCAGAAAGATATTGTTTGTCATTATTTATTGTAAAACATTTTCATAAATTGAAACAAAAGACAGAAAAGATTCACTCATAATTCCACTCCCCAAACTGAATTTCCTTCCTTTTATCATGCTTAGCCTTTTGCAGACATGATTTTTGTTTGTTTGTTTTTTAATCCTCACCCGAGGATATTCTTCCATCGATTTAGAGAGAGTGAGAGAGAGAGGGAAAGACAGAAATATCAATATGGGAAAAACATATTGATTGATTGCCTCCTGCATGAGCCTGGAGGGCCTGGGCCAGTGAGGAGCCTGCAACCAAGGTACGTGCCCTTGACCAGAATCAAACCTGGGATCTTTGGATCCCTGGACTGACGCTCTATCAACTAAGCCAAACCGGCTAGGG